TAGGATACTTCCGAAATATGTTCGAGTAAGTTTATGAGATCATTTGGTTTGGAAGCATCAAATCAACTTTTTTTTGTCTTTTTTTTTTTCCAGTAATTTTGTTGACTAGCACTGGCACTGCTTACCAAATGCCATCTTCATTTTGATCGAAAATTTTCGTGGGATTTGGCCAAAACTTGGCCCGGGCTACTATACTTTGCGCGCCAAACAAATGCGATGATCTTCTTAAGAAGTCATGTTACTCTTAGGAAGAGTTTCAAGCGAATTACATTTTTTTTCAGTGTTTTAGCTTAGGCGACTCTGTCCCAGCGAGAGAGTTTCGGGCAACCCCGATATGATAGTTAGGTTTGAGAGGTCGGACTACCTTCGGGAACCGAATTTACCCATATTACTGGTGGAGAAAAATTTGGATTACAATCCGTCTAAAACTTCAACGAGTGGGCAGGAATGGGTCAACATGTAGTGCCAGCTTTTCTAACCTTCTCATCATTTCATGGATAGACATCTAAAGGAGAGCACGCGGAAAGTGTGCCTTTTTAGGTGAACATTTCGGGCTCTCGTGTCCATGCGTTTATGATCCCTGTTTTTCTTAACTTGTTTCGGCACAGTGCTGTGACGCGGGGAGGGGGGGGGTGCATGTTGCACTTTCACTAGTTCCCATTGTCGTCCTCATTACTTTACAAAACTTGACAAGTATTCTTTGTAAGAGCTGACAAGTAGTTTCTGCAAACTTTGACTGGCATCACTTCATGGCTTCACAAGACCCACAGATCTCCACTTGATGTATCGACACGACAGTGGGTTGCGACAAAAGTGCAAAATGCCCCTCCCCCTTCAGGTACAGCATCGTTGCATGTAATACATAGGGGGTCGCACTTCCACTGGGAAGGGAGGGGGGGTCGTATTTGGTTGTTGGGAGAGGGAGGTCGTATGCGTTTGAGAGAAATTTGCTGCATTGGGATTTTTCCAGATTGTTGATTGTCGCGTGATTTTACCTGTTTCATGTGTACTGTTTACCTCATCCCCCCTCCCACCCGCTCGACAGCAAAATTTCTGGGTGAAAAACTGGAAAATGTGGGAAATTGGTATTTAGGTGTTGAAGAAGGGGGAGGGGGTTTTCCTCGAGTCAGCGCGTTTATGGTTGCTGCTTTTCCTCCTAACTTGTTTTGCCTCGTTCTCATTCTAACTTCAAGTTCCGTTCGCGTTCATCCTTGGGAAATCCGCAGTTCGGTAGTTTCCGATCTGGTATAATAGCAGTTTGAGAGAATGTGCGATTTTAGTGGATGATTGGATGGGAATCGATTGAAGGCAGTGGGTGTGATTGCTGTAGTGTTGTTGCCAACGTCATTGGTGGGAGGGCTGCGAGAGGGCGTTCGGCCTCACTCCGCTTATCCCTTCCACCATTGACATTGACGACAACCGCCTGCCCACAGCGATCGCGCCCCCAGCCTTCAACACCTCCTTTGTTTAGAATCCGCAATCGGGAGAGTGTGAAATTCGCTGAATAGCCGATCCCACACGATTCTTTGCCGCCGGTATTCAGCATTTTATCGAATTGCTCAGTCTTTTGACTCACATACCCTCCCAAACTGCGGATTCTCCACGTTAACAAAGTGTGGTCCTCCTACCACATCTGCGAAGTTTCTCTTAGTTCATAATATCCTTTCAAGATATTTCGTGGAAAGCTTGCTCTCGAAGTTGAGTTCGCCTCACTGGATGAGATGTCCGAATGGCTAACAGTCAATCAGCTCGATGAAAATAGCGACGGTCTTCCAACTATGGTAAATTTCCAGGAGATTCTGTCTTTATTTCACCCTCATCTTATTTCCAACTCTGTGCTGTTTAGCTCCAAAAAGAAGAGAAGCTGGATCTAACGACAACAGGTAGCCTCCTTCATAAGCTTGTAAGCGAACAGAAGGAAACCAAGACCAAGCGGGAAAGGGTGGTGATTAGCACTCGCCCTCACTCTAGCCACTCAAGGCCATCCCAGAGTAGTTCCGCAGATGCACCGCCTTTTTCAAAGAGCCGTGTGAGAGAATCGGACGATATTGCCGATAGCCACCGCCACAACAGGGAGTCCAAAAATAGGACAACGGAACGGAAGTCGAGCTCTGTTGTCACTCACGAGTCGCCATCCGTTACGAGCGAAAGGAAAATAAGTGAAGGTTTTGAGAGGAAAGTGAAAGACTCAGGTGATCCGCTGCCACCTGAGCCCTTTGCCAGAATTCCGAACAGTTTGAAAGAACGTTTATCCATGGAGACGTTAAATAGTAGCGATGGACGGCAAAATAGTCGTAGAATTCGTGAGGAAACTAAGGAACGGAACCGAACTGATGACTCCGAGAAGAAGTCACATGCAATAGAACCGACCAGATCAAGAGCCCATAAGGAGCCAGATGGTGATAGGAAAAGGGATTCTAGTAAACGCCATGATGATCGAAACGATCGTAGAGATGCGAGCAAGCGACCAGAACACAATGAAGTAATCTCGCCGTCTACTCGACATCATGCTTCCCACGAGAACGAAAAGGAAACAGGCGTCAAGCGCTCCTTGAAATCCGATGAGAGCTCTGAAAAGCGGAGCCGACTTGATGATCATTACAGAAAGCGTCATATTTCAAGCCACTCTGATCAAACTAGAAGTCCCTTCAAAACAAAAGAAGACGACGAAAGTAGCGTCAACAGGAAAAATGCTCAAAATACCGACGTTCGGCATGGGGTCGACCCATCTGGAAAGGAGAATGTTCAACCAGAAAGGAAGTGATAGGGGCAAAAGGCGAAGAGTGGACAGTCCGCATCACGGAAGGGCGGATGAAGTGCCCAAAAATGAAAAACACGTCGAAGACAAGCCGTTAGAGAATTCTTCAAAAACATCTGTTCATCGTCGAGATTTCAAAGCGGATAGACATGGAGGAGATTCAAAAGCAGATAGGCATGGAGATTCTCAAAGACATGAATCCAGAAGAGAACACGACTCAACGAAGCACGATTCAACCAAAGGTAAGCCCTTTCCTGTCATGTTTTTCAGTGATTCTATTTTTGGCCACATCTACACTCCTTATCCATGAGAAGAACTAGGCGTGGCATTACAAACAACTTGAACAACAAAAACAGCAACTTGACATAAATTTCAATTTGAAACAACTGTCATTTTGTT